TAAACATATATAAATATATATATATATATATATATATATATATATATATATATATATATATATATATATATATATATATATATATATATATATATATATATATATATATATATATATATATATATATATATATATATATATATATAGCTTAAGTTTTTGGTTTACGAAACACAAACAGTGCTCAATACCATATATATAGATATAGAGCGTAATATATATATATATATACATATATATATATATATATATATATATATATATATATATATATATATATATATATATATATATATATATATATATATATATACTGCCACGGTAAACAGAGAACAGAGAAATAATTTCGCCATTGTCATTAAAATGTCATCACCAGGAACATCACACCAGACCGGAACCGTGGCAAGAAAGTTTTATAATTGTTATGCGGTTGATATTGCCCCCGTGTTCCCCATTGATAGTGAACTGCGAACGGTTATATCACATTATTGGAACATATGTTCTTACTCATAGGCCATAACAAGCCCGACTATGTCCTTTAATATATCCAATGGAGATCATGATAACCTCTATACAGTTAAATCAATGCAGTCAGTGCAGCCGAGTGTGCCACAACAGTTTTATCAAAACGGCATCAGTACAGAGAAAACGTTGTGGCGAAAAACACGCGAGGGAGAAAGCAAGGAAAGCATGCATTTTAATTTAGAAACTGTACATTCGGATCTACTTTGATGCATCTTTAGGTGAATATTTACAATATATAAGCGAAGAGAGAGGAACGGGTGGAATCTACGGCATTTATCTGCTTAGTATATGTTCTATAAATATTTTTTGATAGCTGTATATATCAACAGAAGCCTTCGGGTGGGGAGCGTCGACCGCCGTTAAAAACTAGTAGGTAATAACATTAATAACTGCTGCTTAATAACTATACTGCATGTGTAGCATGGCGTGATTGATAACAATCGTAAAATGCTAATCAGCTTATATGATTATGAAACTTCGAGAAACATGACGATTCAAGTACATAATCGACAAAACTTCTAATGCCGACAATTCATTTTCATTATTTCAGCTAAGTTAAAGACATTTTTGGAACTTAATCACATTAAACATTTAATATTGACAAGTTGGAACTAAAAAACCTGAGATATTGCGTGGTCAAAGCTATTCTACTTGCACGCACGTACATGGAATAAAGATCTTTTAGGCACGCGGTGAGACTAAGTGACGCCACTATTGAAAATTTGTGACAATTTTCCAGTCTATCAAACTAATTTAGAACAAGCTCGATATGATACAATCTCAAATCGATATCTGATAAGATTGCCATTAGGCTTGTTTTGTTCCTAGCAAAATACCGACGCTAGTGTACACACTGTTAATTTCTGGGTGTTAAAATAGCACCTCGGATGGTGTTAGATTAACACCAAATTGTGGTGTTAAACAAAAGTGTTATTTTAGCACCCTTTTCCTGTTTTGCAAAGTGTTAATTTAACACTAAATTGTTTAACACCACTTTAGAGCTGTTAAAATAACACCTACTAAAGAACAGCATGTTTTAAAATAACACCGCTTTCGGGTGCTAAATCCTTGGTGTTAAAATAACACCATAAGTGGTGTTAAGAATTTGTATTCCCCAGTGTTAAATTAGCACTTTTGTGGAGAGAGAATATGGGTGTTAAAATAGCACCTTTTTGGTGGTGTTAAACGGGTTAAAAAGCTCATTAATAATTCATGAAGAAAACACAAAGAAAAATCATAAGCGTGTCGTATCTGTATATGTGATACAGATTCATGTTGATTTACATAAACTTTAACTTTGATTTTCTCGGCTTAGACAACATTTATTTTTAAAATTACTTTGCTAATGAACTCATAAAATGAGTCGTTTTTTAAGCCATTTACAACATTCGCGTCCGTGTTGTATCGGATATACAAACTCTCGTCTTCGGCTCGAGTTTGTATATCCGATGCAACACGGCCGCTCATGTTGTAAATAGTATATGTGAAACATCAAATAAACTGTATATTTAGTTCAGTTTCGATCTCTTCCTCAAAGGTGGTAATCGGACGAGGCCAAAGCAAGACTACTGCATACAATGGTGATATTGTTTTTGTTTGTTTGTGTATGAATGTAATCCCCATTAGCAAGTCTGTAGTCCAGTTCTGGCCTCTCCAACTTGTCTGATGAAATCAGTTTTTTTATCTTTGCAGTCAAGAGATTTGATTGTTGATGTAACCGATGCTCATTGTATAAAGCTGCTATGAAGTGTTTTGGTTTAAAAAGTCCAGATGATTTGCCTACAAAGAATTTACCCCCTCCAGAAACGGCCAATGCAAAAGTCAAAATGGAATGGATGTACGAATGTGCTACTGCAATCTTACACAACTATGTCATGGCAGACATTGCTAAAACACACCCAAGATTTGAAGGTGCTATTAATATGACATTATCTTACTTATTATATTATTTACTAATTATTGCAAAACAGAGAATAATTTTTAAAAATATATTTTTTATCTATAATTATTGAATTGATAAATACATAATGTAAGTAGCTAATAGCAGCTACCATTATAGTTTACAGCAATATTTTTATATGCCGTAAAAATTATAGCCAATAATTTATATTTTGGTTACTTCTTTTTAGAGGCTTCTTGACAGCAAGCAAGACAGGCAACACAGAGTAGAGAACAAATGAAGAAAAGAGCATGAAATCCTAGAAACCAGGATATAGAAACCACAAGTCATAGTAATTAATAACTAAGATATTGATAAGACATATTATATAAACTTATAATCACTAAGAATATTTATGGACATCTAGTCAGGTATACAGCAAATTATATTAAAATTGTCGTCAGAGCTCCAAACTGCAAAATCTCAACCCGTCAGTCAGAATGACAGTAGTCGTGACCTATGTATACATGGTTATGTTAATAGTATATACTTGACACATTTTATCAAACAGACTCCATAAATTAGAACAAACTTTTTAATTAAAACGACATTTTTAAAAGTATACAGACTATGACTGTTAGAACATAATGTAAAAGAATGTCAACACTTAATATATAATTTCTGAATAAATTATCACTTTAGATGTTTAAACCAACATTAAAACTGCTTTTCTACCATGGTTGTCTCCTTCCAATACCGGTACAGGTAATGCTAAGGAGACAACAGAACCATCCACATCTACTGGTGAAAGCACAAATACGGACTATGTATATAACTATGCTTGCTCCTTGTTATTCCTTGACATGCTTGTAAAATATTATGAGGATGCTATAAAGGAAGGTAATGCAAACATGGAAGAAAAGTTTTGGAAAATAGCCATGCTAATTTTTAAGGTTAAGATCAACAACCAAACAAACAGAGTAAAGTACGCGTTTGAATCGTTTAAATATCTTGCCCTAATATAAGCAGGTTTACCTCATCAACTGTCCATGAAGCATAAGTGGGGAAGATTTGTGAATCAAAAGGGTGTTGCAAACAGTATGGAATGTGACAGAAGCTTGGAAAGTGAGGTGCGCAGCAATAAGGACAAACAGGACGGGATGGGCAAAAATCTGACCCCAAAAATGTACACAGCGTATTGCACGTTCATCAAAAAACGTTAGTTTGATGCTCGAAACCTTTGATACTAATTGCCAGGTTATGCCTCAAGTAATAAGCCATTCTAAAGTAAGCAGAGATCTGGATTTACAAGTGATGGTCAGTGACCTCCTTCGTCAGGACGTTTTTGAGTTTGTTTCCGGAAGGAAGCATCCTGCTTTCTCATTTCATAATCGATTACCAGTCCACAACTTCCAGCCCACTGCACTTTTGAAGTGGATGAAAACACTAAAAGGAAAATTTGCTAGAGGAAACTTATTATTTCTTATGGATGGAAGTGTAGAGGATGGAAGTGTAGAGGATGGAAATGAAGAGGATGGACAAGAAAAATGAACATTTTAAATTAGGTTTGCACAAAGAACCCCTTGCACAATAAACACTATTGTAATATGTACAAGTGATCAATACTGCAAAAAATTTAAATAACATAAAACACTATGAACTCAGTAAGTTGAAAGGCCCCAGTTTCCATGAGATCGAGACAAAGTAAAACTGGAATAAAAACTGAAATTGTCAACATGTTTACATGAGACCGGTACAAAAATCACAAAATTTTCAATTTATTCTCCTTGCCGGGCAATTCGCTTTTTTAGATGGCTTTTATTAGCATTTGTTGTTCCAATATTGTTCCCATATCAATGTTACAGCCGAACCCGGTCTGAAATGAATTTGTGTTTACACTCATCCCAATCTGAATTCATGCCGGTGTGAAGTCAGTCGGCTCGATCCAGCAGGTGGAATGACTTAAGATCGGTCTGATTTATTTTCGTCCCGGTCACATTTAAACATCTATTATAAATAATACTATAACCGATAAAATATGGTCCCTCATGGATGCAAACGGGGCGTAATACAACTGCTTCAAAATGTAATGACAGGTTGTATTATTAGTAACTCGCAAATTTATGTGATATTAGAAAATAACACCATGGAATGACACTGACCATTGACCCACATGCTGTACTCCTCTTTGTCTGATAATTCTGTGTAATGGTGAAGGGTAAATATTGTGCAAATAAGAAATATGGTTCCGATCTTGCCTCAATGTGTTTTGGCATTGTTACAGTATAAAATTACTTTGTGCATGTCATTACATTCTGGTCTGGCTTGGTTGCTGGGTTAGCGCACAAGATCTAAGCACTCGGGAAGGAAATTTCCCTGTACTAATTAAAGGGTCACCCGGGACTGAAAGTACAAAGACGTTTTGCGATATGTTGTTTGTGGCGTGTCAAAACAACACCTTGTACTAAAATTCAGAATAAAAAGAAACCAGAGCAACTGTCTAAACAAAATGACCAAAACCTTGGAGAAGCCACAACCACGATAGACGATGAGTGAAATCTAAGGTAGAGCTCTATAGCAATTACCAGAATGGTCAGCTGGCAACTATAAGCGGGGATTAACCCATTGAGCGCCATGCTTTCTCCTTAACGAGTAAATTTGCCTGGCGTTTGACAGAGTAAATAATAAGGTAGACCACATCCAGGCGCAATGCAACTTAATGGGTTTACTAGACACATGCGCAGATAAGCTGATTAATTAAATTAAGTTCTTGCATTCTCTCCTTGACGAGCAAAATCGTCTAAGAGTAAAATGTTGACGTAGGGGCGTATCATGGTGCAATGCAACTTACTGGTTAAAAGTTGGAAATCTGTAAAATTTTCGTAACTATATTTAGTTTGAAATCATTACTAATACCCGCATTGGTTGTTTTTCCGAAATTGCATTGCTGCAAAACAAGACTTAACTAATTAAGTTTCAATACACTCTAATTCACACTACTATATTATTTTACTCTGTCTAACACCACTACTACTCGTCAGGGGGTGAGCGCTGGCACTAAATGGGTTAATCAGACAACTTTGCAATTATCTATACTATTGTGTTAATTTGAATCGTTCTGTTTCCAAGTTCATTTCAGCCTTGAACTGGCTTTCTCCGTTCGTGATCTGTTCGTTTCTTCGTTCGTCCCAGTTTGTCTGAACTTCAGTAGCTTTCCATCAATTGAGCTTTACTAAGTCTACGTTCACTGACTTCACTGACGAATTTTGATTGTACACGCCCTTTCATAGTAACGGTTGAGGGGATCTTTGTACACGTGATCTAACAGGTGGTGTGATTTGTATCCAACCAAAGAACGTTGAGTTATCAAAGTGTGGGATGGAGTTGCTAGCTCGTTCCAGCTCTCACATTCTGTATATTTAAGGCGTTGTCCCACTGGTCGAGTTGATTCGCTGTTCAATCGATCAACACTAAAATATGTTCAAAACTTGAAATACTTTATCAAAATATCATAGTAAAATCTTCAAACTATACCGTATATATAAAGTATGTGAACCTTACTTTACCTACTAAACTAAATTCACTTACAATTTCATTGAACCAAGATTTTGATGACATAGTGTTATCATTACTCAACCGCGCGAAATATAGCGAAGAATGATTGACAGATTTATCATTACTCAACCGCGCGAAATATAGCGAAGAATGATTGACAGAAAGGCCCTAAGCATGCACATTTTCATGTCAGAGAAGAACCAGCCTTGCACTTTGAATTATGTATAAAAACAACAGCCCACCATGCAAGGCTATCGTCCAACTTTGACAGTTTGACAAATTAAATAATCTTGCCTAATGGACATATAATTGACACTTTTATACAAGTCCGAAATGATGTCTACTCTATCTGCGTTTTACAGCAGAAATGCTCATTATCTCTCCATTTGACGTAACTAATATTTATAATTTCCTGGGGTGCAAACTGAACTATTTTTATACTATTTAGATATTTTTGTATCAGTATATTCAAGTTTAGAGGAGAGACTCGCTACTGACATATTTGAGTTAATGAATTGCCTAGATACCGAAATCATTACTCCAGAGATTCGCAGTATGTTCAGGATAGCAACCATTTCACAAACCGAAGATTTACAGCCTGTTAGTTCAAACCTCACTTCTGACGGAAGGCTGTCATTTTCCTCTCCGTTACTAGTTCGTGAGAGCGGTTGGTCTGGCCTTAAAATGCAAGTAACATCAATGCACGGTGATTTCTTGCTGTTTCGGGAGAAGGTTTTATCAGATATGTCAAATCTTGAATCAAAATTATATAAGTCTGAGTTTGACTATTGCATCACAAGATCGAGAAATTGCCTTGTTAAAAGAAGAAAACCAAAAACTGGATAAATTATACCAGAAGCAAGATTTGATACAAGATACTGAGTGCCTCCAGAACTCAGAATGTCTGCCCAAAATGACAAACAGAGAGGAACCTTCAAGTTCTGTTACGTCGGTTAATGGTGCCTCTACAAATAAAGCTTGGAGTCCTAACCTTTTGGAGAATGGTAGTTCTTCAATTGTCGCTGAGTTTCAAGATGCAGCGGACAACGTGCATGAAGAGATGGCTGTTAATAATGCCAAAATAACAACCAACAATGATGTGATATCAAGTCCCCTAATTACAACTATTGCTGACGGAGAAATGAATTCGAATGCCGGTTCTGTTGTTGACCTCGAATTACCCGGCGCCATTTCCTATGTTCTAAAAGTAGTTCCTGCCAAAGCCCTGCAACAAGATCAACAGCTTAAACCGTGTGCGTCATACGCTGCCGCTGTCCAGTCTAATCAACAGCGGTATCAAGAAAAGACAAAGCAACAGCAGATGGAGCAGACCACTGGGTTGAATCGAGATATCACCAAACCCTCGCGTAATACTGTTGAGTTTGTTGGTGTCGAGCGTAACCGTATGAAAACCAAAGCTTTCTTCCTTAGTGGAATTAATGATAAGGTTGCCTCGAAACAGATTCTTGACTATCTCTGTCATCGAAATATAATTCCAACCTTGTTAAACGTATCTCCTAGTAAAAGGAAAGGAACCATTTCTGCAAAGCTTAACATCAAAATCAAAGATTTGGCCGGGTTATCCGAGCCAAATTTCTGGCCACAATTTGTCAGATGCCGACCATGGGTATCAAGAGAAAAGTTTTCCAAAACTGAAGGGCACAGAATACAAGCGACACAATCTGGGAAACACTCCACGTATGTTTAAATTAGTGGCTAACTCTGCATCTAATAGTTCGCTAGCATCAAGTATTAAACTAACGTCCTGGAATATTTCAGGTGTTAAGCATAATACCTGCTTTCTTAATAAATCTCTTTCAAATTGTGACATTTTATGTTTGCAAGAGCATTGGCTGTACTCTGACACGCTTTCATTTCTGGACACAATACACCTTGATTTCTATTCTTGGGGTAGGTGTGCTAATGATCTTGATATCGATGCGACTTCTCGGCGTGGTTTCGGTGGTATTGCCTTCTATTGGAGGAAACACCTTAACATGTCAATTGATGTGCTCTCAGATCTTGGCAACGACCGAATTGCTGTTCTAAAAGTTAAACTAATTAACGGAAATTATATTTACATCGTTAACGTCTACTTGCCGACAGTTTCGGACAGTAGCGTAGCCAGCCCGACGATTTAGTCCCGCTATGCAAATATTTTTGTGTTCATTGACCGTGAAAACAATAAATTTCTAAAGAAATGAATAATGATGATAATTTTGAATTTGCATAGCGGGACCAAATTGTCGGGCTGGCTACGCCACTGGTTTCGGAAAATGCTGCCACGTATAATGACTCCTTGGTAATGCTTGAAAATGTTAATTATGAACTTTATGGAACTGGTACAGTTTTATTGCTGGTGACTTCAATGCCCATATTGGATCCTTTGGGGGAACAAGAAGCACTGATAAAGTAAACTGTAGAGGTCGCAGACTCAGCAAAACAATGGTAGAATTTGACCTAATTTCCGTGAATTCTCAGGTCGGATGTACAGGGCCAATTGAAACCTTCTATAGTAATGGCGGATTGGTGCGAACCACCACTGACCATATTCTTGTTCCAAGAAATTATGCTTCCTTTATCTTACATAGTGCTGTCATTCCAGACTGCTGTAGAAATATGTCTTACCATCTTCCGATTTCTTGTTCGATTAACGTAGACTTGGTCACTAAAGTTCCAAATTTATAAACGAAGCAACTTTGCTGGAAAAACGTAAAATACGACAATATTTTGCAGAAGTATCAAAATGCGCTTGGTACTGCTTTACAGAACGGTCCTGTATTTTCGTCAGAGGCGAATACTCCAAATGCTATCGAACAGTTAGTTGATCACACCGTAAGTCACTTGAAAATTACTGCAGACAAGACTATTCCAACTAGAGTATTTAAGCCCGTCAGAAAACACTACTGAAATCCGACAGTTACGTCTCTAAATCGAGAAGTTAAAACATGTTGGAGAAAATTAAATGGCTTTATGAAGGCAAACCTAGAGATAATAACAATCAGTCTTTTAAAGACTACAAAAAAAGCTACATATAATTTCCGTAAGGCCCAACGCCAAGCCATTCATGAGGATGAGGTAAACGGCTTTGTGAAATTGGAGAGGCAACATGATATTGAAAGAAGCAAATTCTACAACAGGATTACCAAATTGAAGAAACCAAAACGGGTAAATAATGGAGAAGTCTTAGAATTTGATGGTAATCGTGTAAGCAACGATTCTAAGGTGCTTGATGTGTGGCGGCAGCACTATTGTAATTTATACACTCTAAGAGACAATCCAAACGTTGACAATGACTTTAAGAAATTTGTTGAAAACAAACATGTGCAATTTCATACGGATAGTTACAGAAATGATGACCCTCCGTTTCAATTTGATGAGGTTGTTGACGTATGCTGCAAGCTCCCAAATAGGATGGCAAGTGGTCCCGACCAACTCTCGTATGAACGTGTTAAATTTGAAAGAAATTTACTTTTTGAAGTTTTAACAAAGATTTTGAATGCTGTTAGAGAACTGGAGTATGTTACGGATGCATGGAGTATTGGCAACATTTTTTTCCTATTTAAAGGTGGAAAAAAGAACAGATTCAATAAATTAAAGAAAACTATAGAGCCGTATAACTTTGTTAAATGTAGTAGGCAAAATATTTGAACTGTTAATACTAAATCGACGGATTCCTAAATTTGAAACTATGGGTATTCCGAATAATTACCAATTTGCTTATCAGGCGGACAAAAGTTGCGCCTTGGCAAGTTTTGTGTTGCAAGAAACGATCAGTCATAACGTCGAGAGAGGAAGTAAAATTTACTGCTGTTTCCTGGATTTAAGTAAAGCATTCGATTTCGTATGGTTAGACGGTTTGTTCTATAAACTCTTCCAACTGGGTATAAGTGGTAAATCCTGGAGAATCTTAAGAAATTGATATAGTAGGATGCACTTTTATGTTTCCTTATATGGACAAACGTCGTCTGTGTTCCCAGTATTGCAAGGTGTAAGGCAAGGTGGCGTTCTTTCTCCGTGGCTGTTTTTATGTTATAATAATTATGTTATAATAATAATATATACAAAATTAGGGTTAGGAACCTTCTAGAAACCAAAAGGCTTTTGTTTAAGGTCCCTAGGTAATAATTATATAACTAGTTATATTGACAATCTAGCATGCAGTTCGAATGTTGTTGGGGTTTTTTAAAGTCAGGAAATATATTATAATTAATGTACAATACATTACTGTAAAATAGTAAGCTGGAGTTGTACTACATTTGAAAGAGAAAAATAGATTTTTAATGGATAATGAAGAACGGGATATATATACTTATATATATATATATTTACATTTACAAACATTCTACTAGTGAAGTGGAAATGCAGAAAGTATTTTTTATAGTTTTTTTGAAAGTACCATAGAATTGGATTTTCTTATATTGTGTGGGAAGGTTATTCTAAACATCAGTTCCCTTATTGGCAGGAGTATGTTTTGTATAATTTGTTCTGTAGCATTTTTTGTGCAAAGGTGATGAATTTCTAGTGTTGTATTTATGGATTTCTTTGTTAGTCAAGAAATAATTTGTGAAGATTTCTGGCAAATTTTGCTGATGGAAATATCTTGTTAAGTAATCATTTACTTTATATCTATTCAAAACTTGCAGTTTTTCAAAAACTGGTTCAGTGTGTTCAAAATAACTTTTAAAAGTCATTAACCGTACTATTTTTGAATCTTCATTAATTTTTGAATACGCGATTTGTAGGCCTAAGTATTATCCCAAATGAGGTTACCATAAATTAGATATGGATAGACTAATGCACAATAAATTAGTTTTAAGGAATTCAGAGTTGTATAATGTCGAATTCTTGAAATAATTGCGCGCATTTTATCATTTTCTTCGCCACCAAATCAAGGTGATTATACCACGTTAAAAATTCATCAATGACAATTCCGAGATATGTGGTATGTTTTTCTTGTTTTATATTTTCATTGTTGATAGGAATATTTATACTTTGGGCAGGTTTTTTATTTCTTGATCTGAAAAGAACAAATTTAGTTTTTGTGGCATTTATAGAAAGTTTATTGACACTTAGCCAATTCGTAATTTTATCCAGCCCCACCTGGATGATCTTATTTAGAGTTTTAAGACAAGTAAGACTATAAAGTATGTTAGTGTCATCTGCAAATAGTATAACTGAGATCAATTCACTGCAATTTTCAATATCATTTATATATAAAAGAAATAATAACGGCCCTAGTACAGATCCTTGAGGGACACCACATTTGATAGTCATTTCTTCAGATAGTACACCATTATATTTTACTATTTGTTTCTTTCATAAAGATAGTTTTCAAACCATGTTTTAGCAACTCTCCTTATGCCATAATGTTCAAGCTTGCTTATCAGAATATTGTGATTAAGAGGAGTTTTTTACAAAGTCGCGTATTTTTTTCGAAAAGCGCTCAAAACTTAGCGACCAGGCCTTCGCGAAAAAAATGCTGCGCCGCCATCTTGGTTGAAAAGTTTCTCAAAATTTGTGAAGAAAAATAACAGAATTTTACTGGATTTTTGGCTGTGTCACGAGGCAAAACATTGCCAAATATAAAGAAACATAACATGGTAAGTGTAATATCGTACTTAGTAGCTGTTATTTAAATTATTATTATGTAAATATGCACATGTATCAGACTCAGGAGTGAGCATAATTCAAAGCTATTATAATATTAAACTGATTGAAAGTGACTGCTTTCGTGAGTTTCGTATTTGGAAAGATGGCCTACCTGTGTATATTAAACTCGTTAATATACAATAGGTACATGCAAAATTTTAAAGCACTATTTTTGAGTTTTCAAGGAAGAATTTGAACATTTGTAAATATAATTCATTTACTTCGAATCAGTTTTTTTTGGCTCTCGTTTAATACTGTTGCATATGTCCATATTATACAAAAAACCATTTCACTGCAAGTGCACATAGCATGCATATTTGTAATTTTAAACTTCATACTATTTTGTACACATGCAGCTGTTGCAGCTTCGTGTATACCATGCTAGCCATGCTAGCCCTAGAAATCGTGAAAAGAACTGCAATTAAAAATTAATATTTATCGTGATGTGACTTTCTACTCTATACTTGTCACTGAGAAAGCACACGTGGACGCGTGGCAATATAAGCAGAACAAGAAAATATACTATCTAGACCGAACAATGTGGTTATTCATTTATTTAACTGTTAATAAAGTATATCTAGATACTCGAACCAAAAGAATTTATTTATTGATGAGATGTGGCATGGAATTGCAACGAAATCTTTTGATTTCCGAAATATCGCCAAGCCAAGACGCCAACTGTATCCAGATTGTTGACTATAAAAGCTTATAAAACTTCCTGCATTGGCCCTTGGCATTGCTGAAACTCAACAATCATGGTATATGTTAAAGTCTAGCTGTCTGTTGAAAATCTACAGTATTAAAATCATACATCAAAGATAAGTCAAACGACAGTATACTATATTATATTAATATGTCTTTCAATGACAATGGGCACTTTAATCTTTATATTCAGAATAGTAGTGTTTACAACATTTATAAATTTTATAAACAGCTTTCGTTTTAACACAACTCACACAAATTTTTGCTTTATATATATTCTTAATAATACAAGTGAGATTTCAATGTTTTGCTTTGTGGAATAGCATACCGTTATATTTTAATGGACAGCTCATATCGTCTTTATCATATCCAAGATTGCTTGTAAATGCATATATCACTAGGACACTATGGAATAAATATACACATATATTTGAGAGCCTTGTTTTTTAGAGCATATTAATGACTAATGAACTAGAAATAAACAGATGATTCACAATGAAAACTTTAAAAATGTTAGTAGAAGTAGAAAACTCGAAAATTTAAGTTTATTCGTTTGACAGTCTGTGCGCGTCTGACACTGTAAATTTGTGATATATAGATTTAGTACATTAGGAAAATAATGATTAATAAAGACCAAGAAAAAGGCTAAAGCCTGACTATAATTACCGAATACTATGTACTAAATCCAAAATTTTATAATCACTGACAGATTTCTCTGTTTGGCTATAGTATCAAATGTTTACATTTGCTAAATATTGGGCTCTACTGGCCAGACAATACAATACTGTTTCTTTCAATCTTATAAACAAGACGCGTAGATGTATAGTAACAAGTAATTAAATCGGTGCAAAGCATATAAACATTTACAAGAAAGGACAAATCTAATGGCGTATTTTAAAAACATTACATATGTAGATATGATGACTGAAAAGCTCATAATAAACATTTGCTATAAAACCGCGCTCGAGTGTGAAGAGACGGCATTGAATAACAACACGAGAGAGCACTGTGAGTAACGATTTGCTTGGTTTATTGACTTGACTGTTGGTAAAAATGTAAGAATGTTCTTGTAAATTCATAGCAAACAAAATAAACAAAAATTAGCAAGTATTTTGAACTTAATAATTCGCAAAATTTATGTTTTTAACTGTTTAAAATATCTCCACTGCATGGAATCATGTAACTTGATACTTTCCCCACACCCCCTCGGGCGCTAAATTTTGGACGAGGCACGTGACCAGCCCATACCAGGGTATTTCCTAAATACCCTGGGAACGAGTTTGGTCTTTCGGGATCTCTCCTGCAGGAGAGATTTTCCAGCAACGACTAGACCAGGCAGTTGATGACTTGGATTGTGTACGGACTGTAGCTGATGACATTTTAGTAATAGGAAATGGAGAGACGATGCAGGAAGCTGTAGTCGACCATGACAGAAAGCTCAAGGAACTAATTGACCGCTGCAGAGCTAAACATATCAAGCTTAACCCAAACAAGATTGAGTTGAAGAAGACCTCAATGCCATACATTGGCCACATTCTTACCTCCGACGGTGTCCAAGCGGATCCTGCTAAAGTACAAGCCATACTAGAAATGAAGCAACCCACAGACGTGGCTGCAGTCAGAAGAATTCTCGGAACAGTTAATTATCTTGCCAAGTTCCTTCCCCACCTCTCACAAGTATCTGAACCACTACGACAACTCACAAAAAAAGAATCAACCTTTCGATTGGGACAATTCGCATGACGCCGCTTTCACCCAAATAAAGAAATGGATCACAGAACCGCCAGTCCTCAAGTTCTACGAGTCGACCAAACCCCTGATAATACAGTGTGACGCTAGCGACCACGGCCTGGGGGCCGCACTCATTCAAGAGGGAAAGCCTGTCGCATTTGCAAGCCGAGCATTGACACACGCGGAGATACAATACGCTCAGATAGAAAAGGAACTGTTAGCAGGGCCGCCCAGAGGGGGGGGGGGCAAAGGGGTCAAATTGCCCAGGGCCCCGAGTTGCAGGGGGCCCCTGAAAAATTTTTGTTGGGCCTCAGCCTTTTTTGTTTGTTAAATATTTCCGCGCAAAGGACAAGATATCTGTTTTCTTGGGCTAAGTACCGAATTTTGGCATAAAAAAATGAGATAAAGTCCCTCGAAAGCAATTGCAACGTACTCGTCCGGAAAAATTTTGTATTCCGGAAAAAAATTTTTAACCCTAAAATGGTACACTGACCGAAAATTTTTTGGCGACGGGGGGGGGAGGTTGTTCTCCGGAAAAAATTTTTTCCTGGAAAATTTTTTTAGATAGGGGCCCCTAAACCTCTGGGCGGCCCTGACTGTTAGCTATAGATTATGGAACCGAGCGTTTTCACCAGTATACATATTGCCGACCAGTCACAGTAGAATCAGACCACAAGCCGCTCGAAGTCATTCATCAGAAACCTCTATCAGTAGCAGCTAGACGTCTTCAAAAGATGATGATGAGATTACACCAATATGACTTAACCATCGTTTATAAGAAAGGGTCACAGATGCTGTTAGCTGACACACTCAGTCGTCACAATTTAGACAACTCCACCGATGAAGCACGCAGCGTCGACAGCGATCTCGACCAAGTGGACAGTTTGGAAGAAATCAACGAAATACTAAATTGTGAAACAACAACAATATTCCAAGATCACACAACGAAAGATCAACACCTACAGCAAGTCAAATTATTCATCCAGTCAGGATGGCCCGAAAGCTCCAAAGATCTATCTCCAACAATCACCCCGTACTTCCATCTACGAGACGAACTTACAACACAAGAGGGCCTCGTGTTTAGGGGAGAGCGCGTCGTTATCCCAAAATTACTACGAAAGCAAGTACTGAATGAATTGCATGCAGCACAACAAGGGATCGCATCGACAAGTCGGCGAGCCAGAGAAACCGTCTACTGGCCACACCTGAACCAATAATTGAAAGACAACATCTCACATTGCATCACCTGTGACACATTCAATTCGAAGCAGCCGAAAGAACCTCTCATCCTGCATGGAATACCAAAGAGAGCATGGGCAAAAATCGGTTGTGATATCTTTGAATTTGAAAAGAAATCGTATTTAGTAACAATGGACTACTACTCGAACTTCTTCGAAGTTGACCGCCTTGAAAAATTGACATCACTGGCAGTCATAAAGAAACTAAAGCCCCATTTCGCCAGGTTCGGTATTTCAAATACTCTCGTGATAGACAACGGCCCACAATTCATCAGTGATGACTTTCGAGACTTCTCTATGAAGTACGAATTTGAGCATATAACGACCAGTCCCTATCACCACCAATCCAACGGCAAAGCCGAATCTGCCGTCAAGCAAGCCAAACGAATAATACGAACATGCAAATCATCAAACGATGACATTTACCTTACCCTTCTTGCCCACCGAAACACCCCCCAAACAACTCATGAAACAAGCCCCGCACAACGACTATTTAACCGCCGTACAAAGACTCCCTTGCCCGTCTCGGAGAAGTTGCTCCAACCGAAGATAAATTCGCAAGCCAACAAACGCATCCAACAAAGACAACAGCTCCAAAAGAAATACCATGATCGTGGCGCAAAAGAGCTCAGCCCGTTGCGGAAAGGAGAAGTGGTGAGACTACAGCCAACCCGAATCGGCGAAAAGAAATGGAAGAGAGGGATAGTCGTATGCGAAGCCGGGATAAGATGATATGAAGTCCAATGCAAAGGGTATGCCTATACTAGAAACAGAAAATTCATCCGACAATCAAGGTTACCTGCAGAATTCGGTAGTGACAACGCAGATGAAGAGATGTCAGACATGTCCGAAGCGGAAGAGAACGTTTCTGTACCTACTGACAATGATCTGCCCCAAGAAAAGCCTCAACCAGCACACTTAGAACGCAATGAAACAAGTACCAAAACAAGTTCTACAAGCAAAACCCGTAGTGGACGGTTAGTTAAAAAACCTGACAGGCTAGGTATAGACACATAAGGCAACGCGGTATATACGGTATATTTAAAAAGAAAAAACGTTCAGAGAAGAGTAGATGTTGGACATTTACTGTTGACATTAATATTTTAGTTATATTTGCTCGGACAGTGAAAACTGGGAACGAAGGAAAAGGGCGCAAAAATAGGTGTAGGACACGGGATTTTAGAGATAGAGTATATTATACATGTTATGAGTTTATATTATGCGAATTATGCTATAAAAAAATAAAACTATCAAAAGTTAATGAAAGTGAGAAGCAAATTACAAAGAGTTCGAAAAAAGATGGAACTTTCCTAATTGTGTAGGTGCAATAGATGGAAAGCACATTGTAATTCAATATCCTCTTAGAGGTGGTTCTATGTTTTTCAATTATAAAAAGTTCCACAGTATAGTACTCATGGCTGTTGTTGATGCAAATTAGAAGTTTACCATGGTAAACGTGGGTGATTACGGAAGGCTAAGCGACGGGAGTGTCTTTTCTAGTACCCAAATTGGTATAGCAATGGAAAAGAAGCTGTTAAACATGTCCCTTTCAAGCTTATTGCCACAATCAGGTACAGAATGTCCATACGTTTTTGTTGGGGATGATGCTTTTCCACTAAAACCATATATGATCAAACCTTACCCAAGAAATACGGTTGCCTGAAAGAATTGCCAACTACCGTTTTTCAAGGGCAAGAAGAATAGTTGAAAATGCATTTGGCATTGCAATTTCCAGATTTCGACTATTTAGACGTGCAATCACAGCCGATATAGAAGTAGCAGTTCATGCCACAAAAGCAGTCATAGCTCTTCACAATTACCTAATGACAGGGAGATGCTTCTCTGACAACCCTTACTGTCCCCCTGATTATGTTGATCTTGAGTTGAATGGGTCTTTTAAACTGGGTGGTTGGAGAGAAGACAATGAAAATACTGGAATGTTGGACATTACAAATCTTAGTTCCAACAACTATTTCCTGGAGGTAAAAACGGTGAGGGATAATTTTCGAGATTATTTCAATTCAAATGCTGGCTCTGTCCCTTGGCAAAATGAAATGGTCACATGTACATCCTATAGTTTTGACAGGAAATTATGGAACAGAATATAAAGCTAAAAGGTCCCCTGGGCCTTATGCATTACATTGATCTATTTCAAAATATGTTAAATGGTTCTCATACAGTTTCACACAATCAATGCCCTTTTTGTAATGTTATGAATTAAAACTGGTGCACATAATAGCTACTTTTTGGCCTTGTCACAAAACCACCATCAGGTGCACCTAAATTATATCCATAAAATAAAGTTAATAATTTTTTTAAAAATGTAATTTTAATTAAAATGTATTGTACAGTTGTAGATAAAATAACAACAATGAATATTCAAAGTTTTTGTTTATGATAAAAATAATTATATTATAACAATAAGTATATTCAAAAAGGAATATATAGAAACTTGCACAACAATTCAACTCCACTGTCAAACATTTTTTCATGACCTGCTTGGTTCAGTCATCAATATCAAACTCATGTTTCATCAGAACTTGCTGTATTTCCACTCTTGCCATCCCGTTTTTCTTTGGTGGTAGTTTGTCCAGTATTTCAACAATGCTATCACAAAACAGCTGGTTTGAACTTTTCGAGCTTTCGCTATTTTCTTTAGTTTGGTCTTCGGTTTTTGACTTACAAGCTATAAGTCATTTTATCCTGTTTATCAGCACGTTTGCTTATACGACCATAAGGTTTATTCTTAGTTCCACTATCTTGAAGGTCTAATTTTCGTTTTGCTGCTTTCTCATCTGGTGTTGAAATTTTTTCTTTTGGTGTTGATGCTTCTGTGGATGGTGGGATATTATGATTTGGACTGTCTTCACATATTGAATCATTAACTGGGCTTGCACTTGGCAAGGTGATATTACTAGTTGTTTCTCGGTTTGATACACAATCACGTAGAAAGAAAAGTTGGTCAAATAGCTTACATGTTGGCATTTTTGAAGCACCTGCATCAGACTTTTGCCCCACGTTTGTTTTCTTCAGGCATCGCATCATTCCATCTCGAAGGTTCTTCCACCGTCGTTTGAGCACTTCACCTATTAGGAATATACTGTAGTAAAAAGACATAAATAATACAGAATTAATTTTCATATTCAACTACAACCATTTACACCATGAACTGGACAGTGTTTATATCATTAACTTCAACACACTAATTCCCAACGATGGCCCTTTGCTCGAAATGTTGAATCTTATTGTTCGTTTAGGTGGCGAGTAGAACTTTTGCTGCTTGTTGATGTTTACATAATAGTGCAAAATAATAAGGAAAGCTCCATTATTCACGTGCACATAGCTTATTTCCACTTTGGGTGAATGAAGTCCACACAAGATCATTGTTAGTGCACCACAGTCAGAGCAATTTGTCTGCTTATTTTTAAGTCAGTCATCAAGAGTTATAACCTTTATGGCATTTGCACAATTTTGTAGTATCCTAACAATTTAAAAAACCCATTATTATTTCAGTCAGATTAATGGGGTATGACATAATGTCAGTTGGGCTAACTATGGTTGGGCATGCATGTAAATTTCTGAGCTCAACCGTAGAAACAAGATGTCCCCAAAACCAAAAGCCTTGAAATACACCATTGTTTGAATGTCCTAGCACTAAACTCAACGCAAAGATAGTAAAGATGCGTAAATATTGACTGGGTGACTAATAAATACTGTATTCCAGCTTCTTAATATTACCAATAATTATGACAGTTAGTCAAGCTTAGTGTTAAGGCATTCAAATTCAAACGATACGTTATTTAAATGCTTTTGGGATTTTTGGGACCCTGTACAGTATAGAGTCCTGCCTAAAAGAACCGGGCAGAATTTCCTAAACTTAATTTCTAATCCTGATCATAAACCAACCCTATGAGCCCTATTAACATTCCACCTCAGATGTTTAGCCAAACCACGCCACAAAGTACTTACTGTTTTGTGGTAAACGAGATGCAGTTTCTGCCCAAGCCTGATTCTTTTTAACGGTATCTTTATAGCCCCGTGCCGAAGTGTCCCACAGTATTCTATAATTCCTAACTTCTTCCACGAGTAATTCATCTAAACGTCTTCAGAAATGTTTTCTTGAACGTTCAAAATTTCGTTCGCTACCCCCACAATCCCCACTGTCTGTTGTTGATCTCGAAATCTGCTCCTGACAATCCGCCATATTGCATTATTCAACAACATTCTCATTGGTTAATTTCGGTCACATTGGAGTTGTCCGCGCGATGTTCGCCTTGGAAGTAGAAACCATTTCAACTTCGATGCCGTGCACGCGAGAGCCGACGCGTGCGGAATGTTGCAGATACGAGACGTGCTGCGCATGCTCATAAACGTGCATTCCGCCCGCGCGGGCAAAGCGACCGTAATGGAATACGGCCTTTACCGCGACTTTAGTCTGCCGTCTAGAAATAACGTAAAACCAGAAACGCAGCGAACGCTTTATTAATTGGAATAATTGTTGTCTTTGTTACTTCGCATAAGTCATTTTATTAATTTATCTTGTTGTTTATTGAAAAAAACTACTTGAAAAATTGGTGAAACATTTTATGAGTACTGCGTGTCAATAATAAATATAATCTTTATTTGGCGTATCAGTGTATGATCAAGATCAAAAGTCGCGCACAGTTGAACATGTCCAACAAGAACCGCAGCTCTTCCAATATGTAATACGATAGGGAATTATGCCGGGCTGGCTGCAATGTTTGTGCATATGGATATTTAATATAAGTGATTACTGGAGAATTACGTACATTTTGCAAAACTTTATTGGAGGACAAAGTCGGAAGTTCATTTAATTTTATTGATTATTAAAAGCATTTACCAACAGAGCAAAATTCCACTTAAACCAATTTGTTTTACCGACCGCTGTCATGGCTCTTGTGATTTAATACCGACTAGCTAATTTTGCGTTTTACCGACTACCTCACTAAAACCGAGGGTATCGCCCCCCCCCCCGCACGCTCCGCCGCTGGTAACTCTTCTACCTAAAGGTACGTCCAGTAAGGAATTACAAATCCAGCATTCTGATTGGCCACTAACCATACAAGGACCATTTCCGTAACGGACAATAATTGAGAAAAAATATGGCAGATAACTTTTCTCGTTTGCAAATGTTTCCGGGGAATTATGTAGCCTTGCAGTAGTAAAGACTCTGCAAAGGCCATTTCAGACGTGATAGAGACTCCATATAGTACAAATATTTTTGTTCGGCTCGCGAACGACATAAAATCCTTTCCGATTTTGGTCACATACAAAAGTGCCCCTTTGGGCCAATGCCCTCACAGGCGGCCCAATCTCGCAAGGGTCAGTATAGAGTTATAGTATAAATGTATATTATAGTAATGTTTATTACAGTAAAATTATGTCATAAAATATAAATTTTAAAATGAAATTGACTTGCCTATTCGACAGTGTGTGTTCTCCTTGTATTCCTCCTTTGTTGGACTAATATTTTCCGAGAATTTGTACTCGATGTTACTAGTATACATGAAACATGATATAAAGGCTAATGATTTTCGATCGTCGATACGACGGCACGGCACTTCGAATCGAAAATTCTCACACTCAAATCGCTTTATTCTCCAAAAAAATTCGCCAGCATATACAACAAATGCCGTTCTTCGAAAATACGGAGGTACTTCGGCGAGATCTACAAGTTTTGGATCATATTTTAACAATGGAAATCAAAACCCATTTTATATTGAACTTGCCCAGACCGAAAATTACTACGGCGAACGCCTGCGCAACCAGGCCTCCTAAATCCGTTGGGATTTACGGGGGGAGGGGTTACATTAATTCGAAGAATGATCGTTATATAAAAGATAATTTGAAATATGATATATAGACATCATACATAAATTCTTTTAAATACATTTCTTATTATAACATACGTGATATATACACGGCAATATGTTGTTTTCCATTGCACAGCATGTGAATACCAAAAAGCGGGAAGTGGGCAGGCGGCGTCCTCCCCCCCCTGTAAATCCTAACGGTTTAGGAGGCCTGGTTGCACAGGCGGTTGCCGTAGTAATTTTCGGTCTGGGCAAGTTCAATATAAAATGTGTTTTGATTTCTATTGTTAAAATATGGTCCAAAACTTGTACATCTCGCCGAAGTATCGCCGTATTTTCGAAGAATGGCATTTGTTGTATATGCTGGCGAAGTTTTTTGGAAATAAAGCGATTTGATCATGAGTGTGAGAATTTTCGATTTGAAGTGCCGTGCCGTCGTATCGACAATCGGAAATCGTTAGCCTTTATCATGTTTCATGTATACTAGTAACATCAAGTACAAAGTCTCGGAAAATATTAGTCCAACAGAGGAGGAATACAAGGAGAACACACACTACCAAATAGGCGCAAGTCAATTTCATTTTAAAATTTATATTCATACTATAATATACATTTATACTATAAGTCTATACTGACCCTTGAGAGATTGGGCCACCCTGTGATGCCCTCCACTTTCGAAATGCTTGCGCGGACTCTGTAAATAAGACAATACCTTATTACCTTTCGTAGTTATGTATGCTTTATAGATGTAGTTTTTAACTCATCGAGAACTACGTTTTGTTCACACCGACGACGGAGTAATCTTACGAAATAGCATCATTAATAATTTAATTTCATACGAGTTTTCGCTTTTCTTTTCTTATGCAACGTGTTCGAGGCCACTTGTTGAGAGATGTAGCGTAACGTATTACGAATGCAAGTCAATACAGAATTACACGTACAACGCCAATGATCGAGTTTGAACCATGCATCCAGTGATTTGAACAAGATTATATATTATTTTCGCCATCTTAGGCTATGTTTGCATTGCATATCCGATGGGACTTACGCATGTTTACATATGAAATAATGTATGATCGTATATCAATTTCTGCATCGAAGAAGCGCGGGCGACTCCACTCTTTAAAGTGGTGCGTGTTGTTGTGTCTTTCGAATGACGTCTGCAATATTTTTGTTTTTGTAAATATATACAAGAAAAGCGAAAGCATTGGAATTAAAGGTGAGAGCGGGAGCAAAAACAGATCAGACACAATGTAAATGTAGCTTATAAAAATACACACATACATATATTATTCATTCATTATTCAGCTCTCTCTCCCAGCGTGGCATCATTTACATACTGCATATGCAAACATCCTCTCAAGGGAAATAGTTTTCTCGAAAATTTGTTGTCAGATAATCAGACATGGCTTTGCAGGTCATATCTTCGGTTCAATGCACACAATAATTTAGGAGAAAAAATAACACTGTTCGATTCAGTGAAACAATATTTCCTAATTCCTAACGATATTTTCAGTCAATATCAAGTAGCTACATTTCAAGGATTTATGCATGTCCTTAGAAGGTCAAGCGAGATCGTATATGTTACGAAATTACTCAATTTGCTCGATACAATATAAATTACCCATATGCATAGATTTCGTTACCCATAGATCAAAGCTTCGGTCGATTAAATCTTTTGCTCTTTGACTGTGTGGTTGTCTTGTTCGATTCGCCTTTCCGAACACTCTTTATAGTTTATTAACCACTGCCGTCAAAGTATCAATAACATGTGTGACATGTTATTGACAACTATAACTGGGGCTCAACTATACTGTCAGTAACAAGTGTAAAATAATCAAAATCAAAAAGCTTTGAATAAAGCTCAAAAAGCTTACAAAAGATTTGAATAAATTCTTCATATTAAGAATATCGATAAATATGATATGAATAGAGAAAGACCAACAAATTAATGATCTATATGAAGTACTATACTCGTAGAATCTTTCAACCTCGTACCCAGGGCATTTTGCTTCCGGTCAGCGAAAATGGCCCTGGCATCGGCCGGTCACATGATCTCAAAATCTCCAGTATTTGGGGTGTTCAATTATGCGTATAAGTACGTATATACAGGGTGTATAAAAAAAAAGGAGACCTTTAGAAATCAAGCATATTGTTAAAATTTCAATGCCATTTCAATTGCACATATGCTGAACTGTGGTGCGTGAATTGTGGTGCATATATTAGAAAAAGGAGACCTTTAGAAATCAACCATTGTTATAATTTGAATCCTGGGGCACTTTG